GGCGGCCGCGGCTCCGGGCCAGGTGCGAGGGTGGAGCAGATGGTGGAGAGGAGGAAGTGGGAAGAGGGCCGCCGCTGCCAAATCCCGGGCCTTCGCCGGAACCATCACTATGGAGACCGAGGAAGGAGGAAAGGACCCAGCCGCACACTTTCTGGACCTGTGAGTTCCCCGGCCTCCTACTGAGCGTCCCAGCCGAACTACAAGTCCCAGGGTGCGCTGGACCTCTCGGTTGCCTTGAGAGAGCTGCGTCCTCGAGGCCGCTGGGAGTTGTAGTTCTGGAGACATCGGCCGAGGCTGCCGAGCGCCCCCTGGTGGACACGGCGCCCACTTTGGCTCACCCTTGCCGCAGCTTAGCAGTCGTCCTGCCCTACCTGCCTGCCCTCTTTGCAATCCCAGCCTGTCTCCCGCTGCCCGACTCCCTTCCGACTCACTCCGCTCCAGCCACAAGGGCCGACTCATTCCTTTTTAGAGTTTTGTTTTTGTTTTTGTTTTGCCATAGGGCGCTTGCGCTCGCAGCTGAGAGAGTCAGAGACAGAGTGGAGGGGAAAGTGAGAAGTCACGGGGGGTGGGGGGGTCGTCACGTGGCAATCCCTTTTTCATTCTCAGGATTTTGGGCCCGCACGCGCTCCTGGCATGATTTTTAAGCTTCCAGGTCCAGGGCTCGAACTGAGGTTGGCCATGTGGAAGTCCAGCAATGTAACCATTACTGTAACCACTAGGAAGTGTGCTGGCCCTTCCCCACTGTTTCTTTTTAAATTATTTTAAAAGATTGTTTATTGCAAAAGTCTGTAGCAGTGTCCTCAGGACCTAATTTCTGCCCAGTGCTCTAAGTGTCAAAGGGAAGAAATTCAATGAAGTCTGGGTAAAAGACTGGAGCAACTAGAATTCTCTTTCTTCTTTCTTTTTCTTTTTTGGAGAGATTTTTGCTACAGGGCACATGTGCTCACCAGAAAGAGTGAAAAACAGAGACAGACAGAAAGCGAGAAATCACTCCCCAGGGAGGATGGCCACGCCACAATCCCTTCTCCTTCATTCTCCTCTTGGGATCTTGGGCACGCATGCACACAGTACCCAGTGTGAGCTTAAGCCACTGAGTCCGAGTCTCGAACCATGGTCAACTACATGTGATTCCAGCGACATAGCCATTACACCAACTGCTGGTCCGGCAACTAGAATTTTCTTAAGGCAGGTGAAAGCCTTGTCACCTGACATTCTCGCTGTTTCTACCCATATACAAATTTTCAAAGTTCCTTTGTGTACTTCTAGGTCTCGTTATAAGGGGAGGATGCGACAGCCACCCACAAGCTCAGTGTTCCCCGGGTTTCCGCTGTGTTCCAGGCACTGTCCCACCACAGGAGACGGGAGCTGTGGGAGTCACGTGGGGCACCGCGGTCACCAGGAGAGGCTCTTACTCAGTGACGGTCAGAGAAGTATGAAGTTTGATAAGTTTTCCAGGAAAAGTTCAATTGAAGGAACAGCGGTGGGCCAGGGGTAGAGCAGGGAAGAGGATCCCCAGAAGAGGGAATGGCGCTTGTAAAAATCAGGGTGGGGAGGGCCTGGACGCCCCAGAGATTGGAGTGACAGTGATGTGAAACAGGATACCAGGACCAGGAAGCTGGTCAGGGTGAGCCCGGGAGAGGCCAGATACAGGGATCATTCACCACCCACACGGTGAGGGCAATCACCCACTGCGCCAGAACTGAAGGCAAGATAGAGTGTCCTGGGGGCAGGAGTGGCTCAGCCCCACAAGACTGACCCATGTGGGGAGGTCCCAGGTCTGTGTCAGGGACCTCCCAGAGGATGCCCACGATCTGGCTGGCTGAGGTTGGGCTGGATCGTCGTGTCCAAACCCCACTGGGGGTGCTGTCTCTCTTGATGATGGAATTTTTAAAAAAATGAAAACATTTTTTAAAAGAGAGTTGCAGGGGAGCCAACAGGTGGCATGGTGGTTAAGGTGCTGGACATCCCCCACATGGCTGACCACGGTCTGAGTCCCGGACCTGGTGGCTTGCTTTCTTACTTTCCCTTTTACTTTCTCTGAGTCTCTCTCTGCTCAAATGTAAAAAAAAAAAAAAAAAAAAAAAAAAAGATAATAACAAATGGAATTAAATAAATACATATTTTTTAAAAAGAGAATGGGATTGGGCCAGCAGGTGGCGTGACGGTTAAGGTGTTGGACTCCCACATGGCCAACCTTGGTTCAAGTCCTGCACCAGTGGCTTGCTTTCTCACTTTCCCTCTCTCTGTGTCTCTAGTTAATTAAAATAATAACAAGGTGGGACCAGCAGATGGTGTAATGGTTATGTCACGGACTCCCATATGGCCGGCCACAGTTTCAGTTCCAGACCTGGTGGTTTGAAACATGCTGGCACATATGTGTGATTGCCCAAAATCCCAAGAGGAGAATGGAGAAGGGATTGCACCCCCAGGGGGTGATTTCTTGCTTTCTGTCTCTCTGGTGAGTGCAAGTGCCCTATAGCAAAAACCTCTCTCTAAAATAAACAAATACATAAATAAATCTTTTTTTTTTTTTTTAAGAGAGAGGCACAAAGAAGCACGCCAAATCTTGGAACCCAAATGCCAGACTAAGGAGCCTGGGGGTCCTGGAGAGCCATGGGAGGGTTGTGGACAAGGAAGGGCAGGGTCAGCTTTGGGACCCTGGGGAGGACCAGTTAAAGGAGACAAGGCCAGGAGACCGGGGAGAGGGTCCACGGGGAAAGGATGAGGCCAGAGCTGGGGCAGAGGCCTCCATGGCACTCCCTGGTCACAGCCTGGCGTCCCTCTTGCCTGCCACCCACTCCCGTGCATCGCTGACCGGAGACGGAACAAAGACAAACATCTTTATTTACAGAAGCCACTGGCCTCCTTTCCACGTCTGGAAGCACAGAGAGAAGCACAGGGAGGCACCCTGGTCAGGAAGGCACGGAGAGAAGGGGCATGGCCACCATGAGTTGCTGAGGAGAGATTAGGGCGAGAATGAGGAGTCGGCACCCGGGAGTCCAGACCCGTCCCGACATCCGTGGTCCCTGCCCGGGTACCTTTCTCTTCCGGTGGAAGGCCGCCTTGCTCGCCTCGGAGTTGATGGGCAGGGGGATGCAGGCGTCCAGCTGGTACAGCTGCTGGGGACCCCCCATCACCAGACGGTTCTCCCCGATCTCCAGTGACAGCCCCTGGGCTCCATCCTGGGACACAGGACGGTGAGGACACGGACCAGGCACAGCGGCCTCACATGCCGTGGAACAATATTAAAAGGGTCTCATCGCCCAGAAAACAAGTTGGAGGGCAGGAATTACACGTCTTAATGGTGGCGGGCTTATGGCCACCTGGGCATCCTTGGGCCAGAAGAGGGTAGGCCAAAGCGGTGGCTTACACAGGTCAGCGACAGCCCCTTATGACTCCTCTCAGAACAGGCCCCAACCGTCCCGACCTCCCTCTCTCACTCGGTCCCGCCTGCACTCACCAGTTTGGGGAGGTCAATTTCCGCCAAGAGGAGGTCTGGGGCTTCCAGCCAGAGGTTCAGGTGAGGCTTCTCAGGGCTGAGGAGGAAGGAGGTCCCCAGTGAGGACAGCTGCCAGGTCTCCACCAGCACTGTTCCCTCTGCCTGGCAGGCTGTGCCCTTTCTCCCCCCAGCAACCCTGCTCAGTCAGGTCGCCTTCCCAGTCAGGAGTCCCGGGGTGGGGATACACAGGAATGTCCGGGAGACAGGGGTCCCCCTGCTGGCCCACCCTTCCTCGGCCCCCGGGGAGTCGGACGTGCACAGGTTCCCCAGCTCCTGGATCCGAGGACGCTGCCGAGAGCGGATGTTCTGCTGGGAGATGGAGCCCAGGAAAGTCCTGTTCTTCAACATGCGCCATTCTGCAGGTGGGGCGTGGAGGCACCGACCGTGTGGGTTAGGGTTCCTTCGGCTCCCCCAGGAGGTCCAGAACAGCCTCGAGCCCCGCACCTGGGGTCTGACCCCACCTCCCAGCTGGGCTCTAGGAAGCCAGCCCACCTCAGCCCCGCCCCCTGCGCGAATGCCCCAATCAAGTCCGCGCCGCTCCCGGCTCCGCCCCCTCCGGCTGTCCAGACCCCGCCCCGAACCTGGCACCCAGAGCCTGCCCCGCCTCCTCACCCTGGGAACCCACCCCCACACACACCGCGCCAAAGGAATCTGCGGTCTCCGGACTCAGGCTGGCCTCCCCCAGAGGCTGCCCACAACCCTAGCCCCTTCCAGCGCCACCCTTGAGGATGGCACCGGCTCACCTCTCACCTGGGTTCAGCTGCAAGTTGTATTTGTCCTCGAGGCCCTCCCTGGCAATGGTGACCACGAGCTCCCGCAAGAAATCGCTGTTCTAGGGGTGACAGAGAGGGGAAGAGAGGCGATGAGCTAGAGGGGTGAAAGGAGAGGCCCCTCCCCAGGCCTCGCCCACAGCCCCGGGGCCCGACCTGCATCCTCCAGTAGAAGTCGCTGTTGACAGCTACGTCGTAGGCGGTACAGCCCTGGCCTTCTGCGGGGAGACAGGGGTGAGACCTCTCCAGCCTCCGCAGGGAGACAAGGAAAACACTGGCCCGTAGCCTCAAGAACCCAGACCCAGAGACATTAGGAAATGAGAACTCACCACACACATTCCCCTCTGGGCTCAGACCAGCCTCCTTAGGCCTGGCCTCCTCCTGTCTCACCTTCTGGTCCATCTCTACTATGGCGCTAGCACTGATCCTGCCGCTCCCCTGCTCCCAGCTGTCCCTGGGCCCCCCAGAGCCCCTGGGCGAAGATCTGAGTCCCTCAACCTGGCACTGAAGACCCTGTGTGTCTGCCCCCCTCCATCTCCGGAAGGAAGCCTATTTCTCCTCCACCAACCTCATTCCTTTAAATCTCTCCAGATTACTCTAGATTGGAAGCCCATCGGACCTGACCATTCTCTCCTGGCTCTGGGTCCCTCTGTCCCCTCTGCCTAGAATCCTCTTCTTTGTGGCTTTGTCCCACCAATCTCATCCAATATGTCTTCTGGGAAGCCTTCCCTGCCGCCTCCATGTGGGTGACTCCCTCGGGGCTGTGCTGGCGCCTCCAAGGCCACATGAACCACACCTGAATTGCACCATCTCCCCCAGCCAGACCAGGGCACCTTCAAGGGCAGGATCTGGGTTAGATAAGTCCCTATTCTCTCAAGCACTCCCCAAAACTTGGTCCCAGGAAGCTTCGGGAGACACACGTGAATTTAAATTAGAAAGTGTACAGCCATGGAAACAGGAACAGAGACCAGACCAGCAGAGACAGAGAGACGGAGACGGGCAGAAGCACGGAGGAGAAAACAGGGATGGCAGTGAGCGCTGGCCCGGGCCAGGGCCAGGCCGGGCGAGCAGGTGAGGGGCACACACACTCCACCCAGCCCTCCCCACCCTGGGATGGGCAGGGGAAGTGCCAGCCTGGCCAGGTGACAGAACCAGGACTGCCCACCGGATACACCACAGGGAAGTAGATCAGATAGGGGCCGTTCCCAGGACCCCAAGGGGGGTCCTGGTCCTGCGAGGCACTGACTTGCATCCAGCTCGGCATGAGGCTCTCCCAGGCTCATGGGGATGCGAAATCCCGCCTGGTCCTCCTCTAGCATTTGAAGCAGCTTGTCCTCGGTCATGTCAGCCGGAGGAGGGATGGAGGCAGAGTGACAGATGTTGATGAAAACCTTCCCTTCCGACGAGTTGGTCTTTATGCAAAAACCTGGTGGGAGTGGGTTCTTTGCAGCCATCTGCTTTGGCGTGCGTCTCAGTCTCTGTCCATCCTCTCCAGGCTTGGTTGGTCCCTTTCTCTATTTCACTCTATCCCCCTCTTCGGGTCTCTGCCTCCCCCTTGGGGTCTGTTCCCTCCCTGCCAGAGACCCCAGACCCTCTTCCTATCTCCGAGTCTCGGAGCCCACTCGAGCTCTCTGTCGTCCACCTTCTCTCTCCGGATTGCTGTCCCTGGATTATCTCTGGTGTCTGTCCACCACCACCATGTTCCTGGCCTTTGTGCCTGACTCTGTCTCTTTCCTTCTCTGTCCCCTCCCCTGACCTCCTCTCTCTCCCTGCATCTCTGTCCCTTTCTTCTCAGGTTTCTGTCTTTCTCACCAGGTTGAGGTTGGATCTGTGTAGATTCTGGTCTGGTTGTCTGGGCTTGCTGGAGTTCCTTGGAGGCCTGTGTGAAGGAAAACCACCTCCAGGCTCGGGGTCGAGGCTCTAAGACCCTTCATCTGTTCCTCTAATGTTTTTTGGACAATTCTTAGGTATAAGAGCCATAAGGCAAGGAATTAGACAGCCTAGGTGCTCTTCCTCCTTTAAGGATCATTAGAACCACCCAACCCTGACCCAGCTCCCGTTTGTTTCAGAGACTAACAGACTTGGAGTCAAGCAACTCAATTCCAGAAGGACCTGTAGCCGCTCTAGTGCATTCTGGGAACTGTAGTCCTATCACTGAACATGGAAAAAAAAAATCCCCTGGATTTGAGTTCGCACCTGCAGGAGCAGCTCCTCGAACCGCGCAGTCTCCGCATCCATCGTCTCTGCCTCGCTTAGCTCCGGGGTCAGCAACTTCGAGGCTGCCATGGCCCTGGGAAAGAAACCTAGGTATCTCCGGTGTCCTCGTCGCGGGGAACTTTCCCCAGGATCCGAACCCTGGTGCTCGCTCCCGCCCCTCAGGAGACTCCTTACCCGCTATTCTGTTCAAAACCCTGAGAAATTGGCCTCAGATCCATTCCGGACCAGAGCCCATCGTCAAGTCCGCTGGGTCTCAATATCTCAGGATGTACCCTCGGTCCTAACTGCCAACTGTGCAAATGAAGCCACACGTTGGGTCTTTGTGTAACCATCGGGACTAGAGTGAGCCACACTCCATCACTCCGGCAACCCGATCCCGACCAATCACAGTCGAGCTTTGGAGCCACGCCTCTCACCTAAACCTATCAAAAGTATCCTGAGGCTAATAACTGCCGCGCTTCTGTGTCGATTAAAGCCACACTTCCTATTTCTGATAACCGCCGTCCAGCTTCTGTGCAGATAGTGTCACCATACTTTCAAAACTTCGAACTATTACTTCACCCCAGAGCTAGATCGAATCCCTGTAAATGTAATGCGAACTGAAACCTGCACTTCCTGTCTCCAACAGAAACACGGTAATGAAAAGCCACACCAATACCTCCACCCTTCTAAATCTGGACCCCTCCTATTAGCAGAGCACACACGTTTCCGCATCCCTTTCCTCCCGCTTTGAAGAGTACGCGTGCTCCAAACCGCGATTCCCAGCGCGGGGCCCATGGGCGGGGCCACCTGGTCCTAGGCGGAGGGGTGGGCGGGGCTGCGCGCTATAACTGTAGCCCCGCCCGCTTCTCGCCGCTCCCGCCCCCCGTTGCGCTGGAGTGGGCGGTGCTGCCCTTCGGACCTCGAGGTTCCCCTGGGCCGAGCGCCCCGCAGTCCTTCGCAGGAAGCGGTCCCGCAGGCAATGGCTGCGACACGCGCAGGGCCCCGCGCCAGCGAGATCTTCACCACGATGGAGTACGGACCGGTGCCGGAGAGCCACGCATGCGCGCTGGTGAGCCTGCCCCGCCCGCACTGCCCTCCCCTTGCCGCGGGCCTCCGGGCCCCGTTTTGCGCGCGGACTCCCGTCAGCCACCGCGGCGGCTCGGCGGCTCCGCCCCGCTCAGCTCCCGACCTTCCCGCCACGCGTTGGGACCCAGCCGTGGGGGCGTTTCCATGAGCCTTCGCGGCTCGCCC